GCACTTTGAGAGGCCGAGACAGGCAGATCACAGAGGTTGGGAGTTCAAGACCAGCGTAGCCAACATGGTGAAACCCTGTCTCTCCTACAAATACAAAAATTAGCCAGGTGTGATGGCACATGCCTGTAGTCCCAGCTGCTCAGGAGGCTGAGGCAGGAGAATTGCTTGAACCCAGGAGGTAGAGGTTGCAGTGAGCCGAGATCGTGCCACTGCACTCTAGCCTGGGCACCAAAGTGAGATTCTGTCTCAAAAAACAAAAATCAAAACTTGATAGGTGAACATTCTTACAGGGGTACACATGTGTGCACACATGCAAAAATATGTGAGGGCACCCCCAGAAGGTAGCCCTGTCTGGGAGAAAGTGGGGACTAGAGTCTGCCCTGTGGTGACACATTCTGGTGACCTTAAGGGAGCCTTCTGCGTCTCGTGCCCTGGTGGCAAGGCAGCTTGGGGTCGCAGAGAAGACATGGGATCTGGAGTCAGAAAACCTGGGTTTGAGTTCTTGGCTGTAAGACTTTGAGAAAAAAAATCTCTCTAGGCCTCTGTTTTTCATATCTGTAAAATGGGACTGATGTTATAAACAACAGTAATGATAATAAGACCCATTTCCAGTGGTCGGCAATGAGAATGAAATAGGGTCCAGGGTGCAAAGCTGTGTGTCCTTTCTCAGCTTGTCAGGAGTAGATTGCACTTTGGGATTGCGGAAGAAGAACCGTCCAGTTCCATCGGCCAGCCTCAGGCATCTGCATGCGTGGGGCCCTGGAACGCAGAGATGAATGAGACAGGCTGATGCCTCCAGGGGGGACGATCATATAAAATCCCAAGCTCTTCAAGCTTAGGACCCAGGCCTTACCTGGGTTTGTGGCCCTGGCAGCATCGCCTGCTGTTCTGGAAACATACCAGGGATGCTTGTTCCTGGTGGTGACCACTGGGGCAAGAGAGGGGAAGTCAGCAGCAAGGACTCCGATGTGACGGAGCAGCCTGGGGGAAAGTCACACTGGGAAGATCACTGAAGGGTCACCTCTGTGCCTTCTCCTCGTGGGATTAGATCTGGCTGCATGTCCTGAGGCCCGCGGGGCAAAGGAGGGATGTTTCCCCCTCATTCACCTGGGATTGAACCTGGCCACTGCAGCCTAGCCCAGGTTTCAGGGAGCAGGGGTACACTGGCAGCCCCAGAACCTGTGGAAGGCTGAATAATGCCCTCAAAATATCAGGTCCCAGTTCCTAGAACCTGCAGGTATCACCCGATGTGGTAACATCTTTGCAGGTGTGTTTTTTCGTTCTGGATCTTGAGATGGGGGTGTTATCCTGGCTTACCTGGGTGGGCCCTGAATATAGTCACAGGTGTCCTTGTAAGATGGAGGCAGGGAGAGCTTTGGCACTGACAGAAGAGGAGAAGTCTACATGACCACGGAGGCAGAGATGGAGTGATGCAGCCACAAGCTGAGGAGTGCTAGCAGCCACCAGAAGCTGAAAGAGGGAAGGAGTGAAATCTCCCTGGGCTGGGCATGGTGGCTCACACGTATAACCCCAGTGCTTTCGGAAGCTGAGGTGGGTGGATCGCTTGAGGTCAGGAGTTTGAGACCAGCCTGGTCAACATTGTGAAACCCCGCCCTACTAAAAATACAAAAAAATTAGCCGCGTTCTGGCAGGTGCCTATAATTCCAGCTACCTGGGAGGCTGAGGAAGTAGAATCGCTTGAACCCGGAGACAGAAATTGTAGTGAGCCAAGATCACGCCAATGCACTTCAGCCCCAGTGACAGTGTGAGACTCCATCTCAAAAAACAAACAAACAAACAAAACAGCCGGGCAAGAAGCTCACACATGTAATCCCAGCACTTTGGGAGGCCAAGGTGGGCAGATCACCTGAGGTCAGGAGTTTGAGACCAGCCTGGCCAACATGGCAAGACCTCATCTCTACTAAAAATATGAAAAAAAGTTAGCTGGGCGTGGTGGTGCGTGCCTGTAATCCCAGCTCCTTGGGAGGCTGAGGCAGGAGAGTCACTGGAACCCAGGAGGCGGAGGTTGCAGTGATCTGAGACCGCACCACTGCACTCCAGCCTGGGTGACGCAGTGAGAAAAGAAAAAAAATCGGCCGGGCGCGGTGGCTCACGCCTGTAATCCCAGCACTGTGGGAGGCCGAGGCGGGTGGATCACGAGGTCAAGAGATCGAGACCATCCTGGTCAACATGGTGAAACCCTGTCTCTACTAAAAATACAAAAAATTAGCTGGGCATGGTGGCGCTTGCCTGTAATCCCAGCTACTCAGGAGGCTGAGGCAGGAGAATTGCCTGAACCCGGGAGGCGGAGGTTGCGGTGAGCCGAGATCGCGCCATTGCACTCCAGCCTGGGTAAAAAGAGCGAAACTCCGTCTCAAAAAAAAAAAAAAAGAAAAAAAAAAAGAAAAGAAAAAAAATCTCCCTTAGAGGCTCCAGAGGAAGTGTGGCGCCGGCAGCAACTTAATTTCAGGCTCATTTGGACCTCTGGCTTCTGGAACTATGAGAAAATCAATTTCTGATGTGTTAAGATAGTGAAATTATTGGTCATTTGTTACGGCAGGTGCAGGAAACGGATACAGAACCCATCCTCACAGGTCATTAATTCACCAGGAACATGACGGGCACCTGTGGTGTGCCAAGGCATCGTATGAGGCCCAGGGAATGTAACAGTGAGTAGGGCAGACAGGGCTTTGCCCTCCTGTGGCCGACAGTCTAGTTGGGGGTAGGGATGAGGGGTGGACCTCGGCCGCCTGTGGGGTGCCAGCACCATCGTCAGGGCTCTGTGTGTATGGACTGTGAAAGTTGTCTGAATCAAAATGGGGTCACCAGTGTTACCAAAACCCCTGACAAATAGAACCCAGGAAGGCCACGAAGAGAGGATTTTCACGCTTGCATGGCCAATGACAAAAACGACTGGAAAAACGACAGCGTTGCACGAAGGCCTTCGCGACCTTACACAGAAAAGCCTCCTCCTAGGGTGCCTCCCGGCAGCAGCCCGCCCAGCCTCAGACACAGCCACCCTTGTTACTGACCTTTGTAGCCAAAGATAATTATTAATATTTCAAAACAATTATGTAACCCTCCTCGTTGTTTTCCTTTAATCTTCGTCTTCCTTTACCTCCCTGAATACACAGATACTTTACTATGCTATGCAGATTCCCATTGCAATGCTCTACTACCAAATAGCTTTTCCGTGTGTGTGTGTGTGTGTGTGTGTGTGTGTGTGTGTGTGTGTGTGTGTCTGTGTGTGTGTTTAAGCAGAGTCTCGCTCTGTTACCCAGGCTGGAGTACAATGGTGCGATCTTGGCTCACTGCAACCTCCGCCTTCTGATTTCAAGCAATTCTCCTGCCTCAGCCTCCTGAGTAGCTGGGACTATAGGTGCCCGCCACCACGCCCGGCTAACTTTTGTATATATATATATATATATATTTTTTTTTTTTTTTTTTTTAGTAGAAACAAGGTTTCACCATATTGGCCAGGCTGGTCTCGAACCCCTAATCTTGTAATCTACCTACCTCGGCCTCCCAAAGTGCTAGGATTACAGGTGTGAGCCACTGTACCTGGTCTTTTTTTTTTAAAAATCTTTTTGTTGAGACAGGGTCTTGTTCTGTCACCCAGGCTAGAGTACAGTGGTGTAATCAGAGCTCACTGCAGCCTTGAACTCCCGGCTCAAGTGATTCTCCCTTCTTAGCCTCCTAAGTAGCTGAGACTACAAGTGTACACCACCACACATGGCTAGTTGAAAAAATAATAAACAGCCAGCCGTAGTGGCTCACGCCTGTAATCCAAGCAATTTGGAGGCCAAGGCGGGCAGATCACCTGAGTTCGGGAGTTCAAGACCAGCCTGACCAACATGGTGAAACGTCATCTTAAAAAAAAATAAAAATAAAAATAAAAAATCTTTTTGTAGAGACAGGGTCTTGCTATGTTGCCCAGGCTGCGCTCAGACTCCTAGCCTCAAGTGATCCTCCTGCCTTACCCTCCCAAAGCACTGGGATTACAGGCGTGAGCCAACGTGTCTGGCCATCTCTTATTTTATTTTTAAAATTTATTTATTTATTTATTTTTTAGACAGAGTCTCACTCTTGTTGCCCAGGCTGGAGTGCAATGGCGCAATCTTGGCTCATAGCAACCTCCACCTCCTGGGTTCAAGCGATTCTCCTGCCTTAGCCTCCCAAGTAGCTGGGATTACAGGCACCTGCTACCACACCCAGCTAATTCTTTTGTGTTTTTAGTACAGATGGGGTTTCACCACATTGATCAGGCTGGTCTCAAACTCCTGACCTCAGGTAATCTGCCCGCCTCGTCATCCCAAAGTGCTGGGATTACAGGTGTGAGCCACCACGCCTGGCCCATCTTTTATTTTAGAGAAACTTTATCTGTTTTTAGGTTGACATAATCAGTCCTCACAACAGCCCTATGAGTTGTAGGTACTGTTACCACCCCACTTTATAGATGTGGAAACTGAGGCATAGAGAGGCTAGCTCAAAACCAAACAACTGATAAATAGGAGAGCCAGTATCTGAGCTCAAGCCACCCTGTGAATCACTGTGCAGTGTCATCTTTCATCAGATGAAAGAATGTAAGGCACATCGGAACTGTAAAAAGTGCCATAAAGGTAATTCACTGGTCAGGGATGGAGAAAAATGAATGGGGTGGGTGGGAGGTGGGCGCTGTCATTGGGTAGTCAGAGGAAGGGAGGCCTCTGTGAAGAGGTGACGTTTGAGCTGAAAAATGAGGTGTGCCAGCCATGGGGAGGTGAGAAGGAAGGGACTTTTAGGCAAGGGAGAGGCCTCACAGTGGCAGTGATCTTGGGGGGAATCAAGGATAGAGAGCAGGCACTGGGGAGGGGGAAGGGAGTGAGTGGAGGGCATAGAGGATGAGGCTGGGGAGGAGGCTGGGGCCACTAAGACCTCAGTTTCATCCTCAGCGGAAGCAGTGGATAATTTCAGCAGAGGGTTAAGGTGGGCTCACCTGCCCGTCTCACTTGCCCACCCAGGCATGTCAGAGCGGGAGCGGCAGGTGATGAAGAAGCTGAAGGAGGTGGTGGACAAACAACGTGACGAGATCCGCGCCAAGGACAGGGAGCTCGGCCTGAAAAATGAGGACGTGGAGGCTGTGAGTGACACATCCCTGACCTGTGTCCACCCTCCCAGCCAGTAGGTGCCAGCCAGAGACCAGATCCTCCACTCAGCAGGCCCCTTGTCTCCCTCACTCTCATTCTCGGGGCTCCGTGGGGTGGGGATCCTGCCCACAGCGTGACGGGCCCAGCCTGGAAACAGCAAGTCTTCACTGGCAGAGCAGGAGGGAATGTGGCACTACCCGGTGAGCAGGCTCCTTCCGCCAACTGGGAAGGTCCCGAGGCCCCAGCAGCTTTGCCTTGACCCCAAGGCCTCCTCCAGGTCCCCCACCCCACTTCATGCCCCTCTGTGAGCAGACTTAGCAGGGTCCAGCATGCTCCAGGAACCCATACAGTGTCTCTGTGTAAATTAGAAAAAAAATGCCCTTTTCCAAAGGCACGTTACTTCCATCTCTTGGCAAATTTTCATAATGTATTAATTCTAGCCAGACACCTTTCCATTTGCCATAAAATTACCATAGTAAATACACAAATTGCCCAGCTTTAGCATCATCAGTTATAAGAATATGAAAACTCTTGTTTCCTATGATCCATGTTAGAGGAAGTAAAGAAAAAAAAGGAAAAAGGAAAAAGAATATGAACAACGCGACAAAGATGTCTGCAGTGTAAATGGCACACCTATGGATGGTTTGCCATTGCGCAGTGCACAACCTGAGCTGCTGCAGGTGGCAGCCCTGCACAGTGGTCTCCCTTTCTCCACAGTTACAGCAGCAGCAGACACGGCTGATGAAGATCAACCATGACCTTCGGCACCGGGTCACAGTGGTGGAGGCCCAGGGGAAAGCCCTGATCGAACAGAAGGTGGAGCTGGAGGCAGACCTGCAAACCAAGGAGCAAGAGATGGGCAGCCTGCGGGCAGAGCTGGGGAAGCTGCGAGAGAGGCTGCAGGGGGAGCACGGCCAGAACGGGGAGGAGGAGCCTGAGGTGAGCAGGAAGCTGGGTGCAGAGGGGGTAGTAGAGGGTAAGTCTGGGGTTGACTTGAGACCGCAGGGTTGCCTTGTTTTCCCCATTATACTTTAGAAAAATGACCAGACTGGGCAACAGAACAAGACCCCAATTCTCTACAAAAATTTTTCTTAATTAGCCGTGAGTGGTGGTGCACACCTGTAGTACCAGCTGCCTGGGAGGCTTAGGCAGGGGGATACCTTGAGCCCAAGAGTTCAAGGCTGCAGCAAGCCGTGACTGCACCACTGCACTCCAACCTGGGTCACAGAGCCAGACCTGTTTCAAAAAAAAAGAGAGAGAAAATGAGAGGCTCAGAGAGAACATGGTACTGGCCTGAAGACACAGCCGAGGGGCTGGAACCCCAGACTCCCAGCATTCTCCCAGCTCAGTGATGTTTATCAGGTACCTGCCATCTATTTATCCATTCATACCAGTGATTGTTGGCTATGTGGCCAGCCCAGAAGATAAAATGCAGACCTGATCCCTGTCCACATGGAGCTTACAGTTTAGTCTGGGAGGCAAACATTAGTTAGTCCAGACCTTAGTCAGTAGTCACATCGTACCACTGACCCAGCAGTTCCCCTCCCAGGCATATATCCAAAAGAATTGAGAGCAGGTGTTCAAACAAAAACTTTGACATGAAGGCCAGGTGCAGTGGCCTGTACTTAAAATCCCAGCCCTTTGGTAGGCTGAGGCAAGAGGATGAAGATCACTGGAGGCCAGGAGCTCACGACCAGCTTGGGCAACATAGTGACACCCCATCTCTACAAAAAATTATTTAAAAATTAAAAACTTGGGCTGGGTATGGTGACTCATACCTTTAAATCCCAGCACTTTGGGAGGCTGAGGTGGGCAGATCACTTGAGGTCAGGAGTTCAAGACCAGCCTGGCCAACATGGTGAAACCCTATCTCTACTAAAAAAAATAATAATAATTAATACAAAAATTAGCTGGGCGTGGTGGTGGGTGCCTGTAGTCCCAGCTAGTTGGGAAGCTGAAGCAGGAGAATTGCTCGAACCTGGGAGGCGGAGGTTGCAGTGAGCTGAGATGGTGCCATTGCGCTCCAGCCTGGGCAACAGAGTGAGTGAGGCTCCATCTAAAAAAAAAAAAAAAAAAAAAATTAAAAACTTAGGTGTGGTGGCACATGTCTGTAGTCCCAGTTATTTGGGAGGATGGGACAGGAGGATCACTTGAGCCCAGGAATTCAAGGCTTTAGTGAGCCATGACCGAGCCACTGCCACCCAGCCAGGGCAGCAGAGTGAGACCCTATATCAGCACTATTCACAGTCACCAAAAGGTGGAAACAGCCCACATGTCATCAGCAGGTGAGCGGGTGAACAGTAGTTTGTCCGCACAGTGGAATGTGATTCAGCCCTAGAGAGGAATACAGCCCTGGCCCCCCGCCAGCACGGATGAGCTGTGAAACGTCATGCGGAGTGAAAGAAGCCTGGCCCACAGGCCACGCAGTGTATGCCTCCATTTGTACACGTTGCCCTGAACAGGCAAATCCATAGAGCCACACAGTAGATTGGTGTCTGAATGGGGCTAGGGGGAGGGAGGAATGGGGTGACTGCTGACGGGTGTGGAGTTTCCTTTGGGGCGATGGAAATGAGCCGGAATTAGACAGTGGCTATGGCTGCACAACACTGAATGTACCATCCGCAGGGCCAGAGCTGTCCATCACAGCCGCAGCTAAAATCCAGGCAGGCCCGGGGCTGTGAGATGGGTACTGGGGCGTCTGTTCCATAAATGTGCCCCCACACTATGCCAGGAACACAGAGGGTGAGATCGTTCATCCTAGCAGAGGTGGGGATGCGGGCTTTCTGGAAAGAGCTGTTGGTTAAGCCGGGCGTCAGTGTTAACAGCGCGAAGACTTTGACAGGTAGAAATGTGGAAAATGGAGACGGCGGTTTCAGAAAAGTAGAGTGAATTTTAGGGATCCCCTCAGGCTTGCTTTTTCTCCCAGCAGATGTTTGTGAACTCTTGAAGGTTTGCAGACGCTGTGCTAATAAACAGTTACAGATGGGGGAGGTGGGACAGACAAGCTCGCAGCCAGGTGGGTTCAGGTCCCAGCAGTCATTAAGTATCCTGTGAATTTGGGTTAGTCATTTCCAGGTTTCCTGTAGGACGGGCATCTGGGATACAGTGAAGAAGGTCAGGGAGAAAAGTCTTAAAAAGGAGCAGTTGCCGGACACGGCGGCGCACACCTGTAATCCCAGCACTTTGGGAGGCCGAGGTGAGCGGATCACCTGAGGTCAGGAGTTTGAGACCAGCCTGGCTAATACGGAGAAACCCCATCTCTATTAAAAATATAAAAAAGTAGTCCGACATGGTGGCACGCGCCTGTCATCCCAGCTACTCTGGGGACTGGGACAGGAGAATCGCTTGAACCTGGGAGGCAGATTTTGCAATGAGCCCAGATCACACCACTACACTCCAGCCTGGGCAACAGAGTGAGGCTCCATCTCAAAAAAAAAAAAAGGGGGGGGGACAGTTAGGAACTGCTTTGGGCTAAAAATGACATAAGCCTACATTAAAATGGTTTAAGAGGGAGCTGGATGCAGTGGCTTATACCTAATCCCAGCACTTTGGGGGGCCGAGGAAGGAGTTTGAGACCAGCCTGGCCAACATGGCAAAACCCTGTCTGTATTAAAAATACAAAAATTAGCCGGGCATGTTGATGTGGGCCTGTAATCTCAGCTACTCAGGAGGCTGAGGCAGGAGAATTCCTTGAACCCAGGAGGAAGAGGTTGCCATTGGCTGAGATCGCACCACTGCACTCCAGCCTGGGTGACAGAATGAGACTCTGTCTCAAAAAAAAAAAAAAAAAAAAAAGCCGGGCGCGGTGGCTCAAGCCTGTAATCCCAGCACTTTGGGAGGCCGAGGCGGGTGGATCACGAGGTCAAGAGATAGAGACCATCCTGGTCAACATAGTGAAACCCCGTCTCTGCTAAAAATACAAAACATTAGCTGGGCATGGTGGTGCGTGCCTGTAATTCCAGCTACTCAGGAGGCTGAGGCAGGAGAATTGCCTGAACCCAGGAGGCGGAGGTTGCGGTGAGCCGAGATCACGCCATTGCACTCCAGCCTGGGTAACATGAGTGAAACTCCGTCTCAAAAAAAAAAAATGTTTAAGAGAAAAGAGTAATTTATTGACTGTGTAACTAAAAGCTCTGAGTTAGGGGTGGCTTCAGGTACAGCTGGCTCCAGGTGCTCACGAGCTGCTCTCAGGAATGTGGCTCCAACCTTCTCGGGCCCCGCTTTCCTCTGTGCTGTTGCCATTCTCAGCCAGGCTCTTGCCATACAGTTGCCACTAGAATTTGACCAGCATGGCAACCCCAGAAATGGCCTCTTTCTCTAGAGTCCCAGCAAAAGCCTCAGGGAATCCTCATTGGCCCATCAGTGCACCAACTGCTGTGGCCAGAGACCTGGAATGTGCATGTTTATTCCTGAGTTACATGGCTGCGACCCATGCCACATGGACTAAAAGTGGGAGGAGGGTCTTTCTCCAGAGGAGAAGGGCGGTGACTTAGGCCAAAGACGTGAGGGGAGGATAAAGGCCAGGCAGAGACAACAGCTGTTGTCTCCAAGGCTGGGGAGTCGGCACCGAGGGACCACACTGAGCTCTGAGCAGTGGGGTGCGGGTCCCTCGCAGGGGTTCAGCGGGCATGCGATAATGCTCAGCTCTTTCACTGGAGGACAGGGAAGGAGCTCATGGCAGACATGGTTGTCAGGAGCCCTTTGCAATAACCCAGATGAGAAGGTGAGGGCTGAACTCAATCCATGGCAGGGGATGGAGGCAAGGAGGTACCAAAGACATAACCTCCAGGCTGGTCGCCACCTCTACCCGCCCCCACCCCTTGCTCCCAGTGTGCCCTTTCCAACCTTCAAGCCCTGGGAGGGCTCAGGCCTGTCTCCTGGCCAGGCAGGGCCTGGCCCAAACCCGGGTCTCAAGAACGTCAAGACTCCCAGCTCTGCTCCAGGTCTCTTTAGCAACAAGGAGAGGAACATTTCACACCTCCTTAGCTCAGCTGCCTGCCGGTTTCAGCTTCCCCGTCCGGCAGCTGATGGGGCAGGGAAGACATGAGGGGGTAAAATTGGCTGCAGTAACGCGAACCTGCAGGGCTGCTTGGCAGGCACTTTCCCAGGCTTGGGGTGGCTTTGCCGGGTTCAGACCATCCCTCGGAGCTGTGTGAGTTCAGGATGCTTGTCAGTCACACAGGGAGCTGCAGGTTGCCGTGGCTTCACCACTTGCTGCCGTGTGACCTGGGCCCGTCCATCTCTTTGGTGGTCAGTTTCATCATCTGACAAATGAGGGGAATGAGCTTGACTCAGTAGGTCAAGTAAGTCCACTGTTGCGTGCAGCTGGGAGAGAGAACTATAAGATCAGAGGAGGGGCTGGGTGCAGTGGCTCACACCTGTAACCTCTGCACTTTGGGAGGCTGAGGTGGGCAGATCACCTGAGGTCAGGAGTTAAAGACCAGCCTAGCCGACACGGTGAAACCCCATCTCTATTAAAAATACAAAAATTAGCTGGGCCACGTGGTGGCACATGCCTGTAATCCCATCTACTCAGGAGGCTGAGGCAGGAGAATCACTTGAACCCAGGAGACGGAGGTTGCGGCGAGCCAAGATCGCGCCACCGTACTCCAGCCTGGACAACAGAGCGAGTCTCCATCTCAAAAAAAAAGAGGCAGGGTCAGGACAGAGCTCCAAGGCATTGGGCCGGGTCCTGTGGGATGGGTAGCGTGTCCCAGGGTGTACTGTGGACAGGTCATTCCAGGCAGGAGGAACAGTAAGCCAGGCCGGAGAAAGTGCAGCATGTGGCTGGGGTCAGGGGGTCGTCCCAGGGCAGGATTTGGGGGATGTGGGAGCTATGGAGGGTTGCAGAGCTGGAAAGGACTCTGTCTCATCATTGCTACGCAGTTCTTTCTGAGCTGCCTCACTGTCCATTGCAGTGTGATCGCCAGGAGATAAGG